CTGGAAAAATTATGTTCAGAAGCAAAAAAGAAGAACGTGTTTTTCTCGAAAACGACACCTTTCGACTATTTCGTATTTTTCGATCGGAAGGAAGCATTTGCTAAGGCTAAAAAGTAGTTTTTCGTGATCTCCAGCTCTATCAAATGATGTAAAGAAAACACGAAAAAAAAATTTACTGAAAGTTTGAATTGCCTGCACCTTATAATTTCCTATACAGTGTTATTAGAGATGTAGTATTAATTGTTGACACATAGTAATAGGTTTTCGTACAATAGCAACACTTCTACGAACTTCTAGACTTCAGGAATCCATTGCAGTCCAAGAGTCTGCTGTTTCCTCCTTGCAAAAAACACGGTTTCTTTAGAAGTACGCGCTTCTTTAGGTTTTAAATTTTTTCTAAGCTAGCCAGAAAAGAGTGCATCTTTCGAAATCCTTAAATCCCAACTTTTATTGAAATTGGTTCAATAGTTACAATAATAGTCTAGGCCAACTTTCTCAAGTTACACGCCTGGTCAGTTGTATAAGTGAGATACGAGGATAGTCTAATCAAACGTAGTGCTCCATATACGACTGCTCTTATCTTTGTTGAACTATGTAATATATTGGAATCTCTTATATGCGATTATACGTTGAGTTTCGAGCCACGGTCAAGGTTAGTGCTTTTTCTTCTCAGTCTATCGAATTTCATACAGCCACAAAAGCTTCTGCGTTTTTTTGTGCAAATTAAGAAATACTAGCCAATTCTTTTACAGCGGAAGTAAAACGCAAGTGTCATACATAGTTTTAGTAGCATTTTTTCGAAGTACCTGTACGAGAACTAAACAGACTATGATGTGTCTTAAGCAGCACACGCAACGATGAGCTGGGCTGCATTTGTCTCATCTGTTGGACTTGTGATTGTAATGACGACGATGGTTTTCGCTGATCACTGGACGCGTTACTTTGTGTTGTTGTAGAATCTGAAATGATCAGCCTATGTCAGTTTTTATTAAAGATTTTCGATTATGCAGCACTTAACCGTACTTTTCAAAGGCTTTTCTCTTTGTTTACGCCGTTTGAAAACGTTTTGCCATGTTACGGACATCTGCAAGGTGTTTAGTTGCTCAGCAATTGTGACAAATCGCACAAGTTCATTTGGAATTTTGACTGACTGAATTGGCATTTTCTCGAGTTGTTGGGTCATTTTTATCAACAGATTTTGGTATTTATCGAAATCGTTCGCTTGTTTGCAATAGGTTTCGAGACACAGTTGGATTTTATGCTTTATATTCATCTTCTTAGTCATTTCTTGATCATAGTTATTGAATAACTCTTCTATTTCTGATTTTTTTTTCTCAATGGTTCGAACATATTGCCATATTTCTCGAAACTGAATTCTCTCGTTTGGCGAATGATTGCGCATATTTCTGATATCAGCAGCCATAACGCCATTCTTTTCCAAGCTTGTCCATAAATCTGCTAACGCCATCAATAAATCATAATGAATTCTTGAATTTTTTAAACAGTCTTCAAATAATATGATTGATACTAATGAATTTATGTTCGGTCGAACAATAGTGGATAGGTATACTTCCAAATCTTCTATCGTGTTAGCATTCACACAGATTTCAATCAGATCAATTAAAATTTTTAAGTCTGGACGCTCTTTAATCCTTTGTAACAACCGAAAAAATGGACTGTCCATAGAAAGATGTTTCATGTTAAGCTTATTGGTGTCATTTTCAGCAATATCGAGTTGGAATTTCTTCTTATATGCAATCATAAATTGTTGATTTTTCACGTGTACAGCTATTTGTTCAGCCATTTCAATCAATGCACTTATCTCCTTCGGAAAAAACAATGGCAAACTAGTTTGTATGAAAAATTCTAGACGATTCGGTTTTTGCGTTTGTCCTAGATGCTCAATATTGAGTAATGATTGAATTAGACTATCGATAGATAGAATGAATTTTGAATGTATTGTATACTGTTTGATAATTGTGCCCAACCATATATCCAGTAAGTCCACAAACATTTTTAAGTCGGTGTCCGTATTGGCGTAATGTCGATCACACAGAAAACAATTGAACCATTTGTGATAAAACAACCAAAGTGCATCAGCCCTTTTGTCGGTATATTTGGTAAGAACATCTTTTATATAGGCCGGTACTTGAAGTTGGTTTAGAATATGTGGATTATAATAATCAATCAGCACCTTGCTTAAGTGGTCTAATTGATTCACAGAGGTTACATTCATATTACGTAGATAATTTGTTATTGCTGAACTCAGATCAGAACTATTCTCAAGTATATTACGCAAACTGTTACTACAACTGCTATGTACTTTTTCCAAGAACTGGAGTACATTTTCGAGCGTCATTGTAAACTGGCTTACTTTCAGGATTTCTCTTAGAGTAGTTGGAACATCACTTTTTACACTTTCTATTGTTGTCTGTAAAAGTTTCTCGGCAATGTCAATAAATTCTACAAATGTAGTTGTCATTTTCAAACATTCGATCGTGAGTGTGTCAGCGCTAGTCATTGTAAATATATCTGACCAGCCATTTTGACGAATTTTTACATTTAGTTTTAATATCTTTTTCACGAGTGCATCTGCAATTTGCCGCTGTTGATGAACATTTGGTATTTGCTTCAGAAACGATACTGTGTCATTTGAAGCAGATGGAGAATAAATTTGAAGTTTGCAAAATAATACATTTGTGCAACCATCTTTGACTAAACTCCAATCACTTTCTTTCATTTCATTAAAGACGTTTTGTGATTTGATTATGACAGATTTTAAAAGAGTATCGACAAACGTAATTGATTTAGGTTGATTGAGGTTGAAATTAACTTTAGCAACAGTTAATAATCCCACCATACGTAGAAGAATATTTATGACGCAGTTATGATTATTTAATGCTGGCTTTATTCTCGATAAGTGATCGTTGCATTGTGAAAAAAATTTATTGATATTGACTGTCTTACCTATATTCACCGCTGCAGCACTAAACTGACTGAGGAATGAATCATACAAATCGAATTTGTTTTGCTTAATAATAAAATATGTATACTGCCATAGTTGTTCCCAGAAAGATGATGGACCACCAGGTGGTTTACATAAGTATGCTTTTTCGAAGTAAATCGAAAATAAAAAGTGATGTGTGTTTAACGAATTACTGTACCATGTACGAAGCGTTTTGTCTTCATGATTCAAGTTTTTCACACGCAGACGAGTAGGAGCGGAAAGTTGAAGTTGATACTGGGAAATCATACCGAATTGTTCGTTATTGTCGTTCTGTTTTATGAGTATTTTATCATTTAAATTTTGTGCTGTGAATTTCAAGTGGTATAAGCATGGTATATCGTCGGTTGACGAATATGTTTCTAACTTATCGATTTCCTCAAATATTAATTTTTTTTGGTCATCGCCAGAGAATAAGAAATTCATTGAAAAAATTTCAGAGTTTTTCCGACACCATAACGCATAAACATGAACATCGTACGGCTGACTGACCGCAGTTACAGCGGCTGCTGCCATCTAAAATATTTCTTTCGTAAGAATACTTTTGATTTGTGTCAGAAATATTTCACTCGAATGATCTACAAATACAATAACTTGTAATATTGATTTAAGATGGGAGAAATCCCGTGAACAGTCAAAGATATTATTCGGTTTTGACTGAATTTGAATACATATAAATACCTTATTCTTCAGTTGTACATTTCAGAATACCAGTGTACATTAGAGAGATGTATATGGCACTTCAATCGAACACAAATTTGACTCCTTGGCATTGAAAGCACAGATAACGCAGTAGTGTAATTTGATTTTGTGTACCATTGGTACCCGTTTTTACGCTAAAGAAGCACAAACTGGTGTAATGAGTTTTCATGTTCTCATTGCGTGTCTAAGTAGTTATGAAAAAATATTTTAGTGGGGAATATAGTGTGGAAACATATCCGAATCAGGATATATAGCCCGATTGGGCTATAGGATTATATCTCAATCGGGACATTATAGTCCGATCGAGCTATAATTTTATAGCCCGTACGGATTTACGGCTTTTCTAATATTCCAATCGGGATCTTCGATTTTTTAAATTAGAAACGAAGTTCACTGTGTTTTGTTCTATCGCGCGTGTAATTAGCATTTGTAGTGTATTATAGTTCTTTTACTTAGTGTTGACCAAAAGTTCGTAGAACGGTGATTCCGTCCTCCCCTCCTCATACCGTGATCAAAACTTTTGGTCAGCCCTAAGTATATTCTGATGGCGCTGGAAATTCGTCCTATATATTTGTCTACTGTCTTGCATTTATCTATTGCAAAAATAACTTGAGTACAATGAAGACATCCTCAATTGGCAAGCGTGCCTGTATGATAGTCAAATTGTTCTTCAGCACAGAAATGCAAGATGGAACAAAAATATACAGGCGCCTGTTTCTTAAAAAAACTTAAGTAGAAAATCTTACTTAAGTCAAAAAAGACAAAGACTTTTTTGGACTTAAGTTTGACTTAAGTAAGATTTTATACTTAAGTTTTTTTAAGAAACAGGCCCCAGGATGATAGAGAATTTGAAACTCTATCAGAATGTTTAATTCCTTTTAGAAAGATTTATTTCCATAGTATCTATAATTTGAAAAAGCATAAAAAGAGCGAATTTTCGTACTTGTCAATTGAGGGTATCTTCATTGTACTAAGTTATTTTTGCAATAGATAAATGCAGGACAGTAGACAAATATATAGAACGATAGAGAAATTCAAGCGCTATCAGAATATACTTAGAGCTGACCAAAGGTTTTGATCACGGTGTGAGGGGAGCGAGCATCGTCGTTCTACGAACTTTTGGTCAACCCTAAGTAGTATGTGAATAGACAAAACAAATCAGTAGCAAAAAGTTCAATCATTTACAGGTTTTTCAACTTTTCCAGCGAACCAAATTCATTGGATGAAAGTTTTAAATTCAAACATGAATTAAACGAGATTTTAGCTTCTGGTTTTGTCTTTTTATTATCTATTACCATTATACAGATATTTAAGATTCAAAATTTTTTAGGTTACTAGTCTAAAAGATAAAAGGTGACTGCTAAACTAAAGAATAGTGAATATCTCTGTAATGGTAAAAGGTCATAAAAAAACGAAAACAAAAAATAACTTATCGTTTATTTCTTATTTGAATTTAAAACTTTGTTCCAATGACTTGATTTGCCCAAAAGTTCGTACTCTTGAAAGAAATCTGTAAACGATTGCATGATGTTAGGAAGTATAAACCAAATTTATATCAGCAATGGTCATCTTTCAAATATACATGTTCTCTTCACTCGATGGTTATTTTCCCTTTCTGTTCTTTTGTTATATGTATTCACTGTCCTGTTTTTCTATGATGTATTATTTTTCTCTTTCTGTTCACTCTTTCCCATGGGTATTTTTCATTTCTATTCTTCTCTCTCTCTCTCACTCTCTCTCTTGTACAATAGCTGTTTTTCCCAGTTTCCCAGAGGAATGTTCCTGTAGCTGAGATATACTATATATAGTTGTTAATTTGCTGAAATAAAGTATGTGTAGCAGTTACATTCTTCTTTGGCTATTAACCATTGGATGCAAAACGATTCTGAAAGGAATAACCTAACAATGAGTCATCACTACTATGCCCATATACTATTTGTTCTGCTAACATATGGAAGGAAAAACAAGAAAATTATCAGGAGTGCAGTGTAACATAGAAACACTCGTATCGATAGTAAAACTTTATTCAACGCAGCTTTTCTTACCATTATTAGGTAATAAAGAAAAAGATAATTATAATTATTAGCCTTAAAAAAACTTCATGTTAACAATAAACAACATGATACAGGCCCTATAAAGGCAGCATTCAAAAAGACCGGGTTAAACGAGCTTAAAGTAAATACAAACGTCGTGAGACATTAATTAAAACAGTAAGTTTTGCTTAATTTTATGCGACGGAGATCAATGAAGGGAGATTTTTTTGAGCTTCTTAAAGGGAATGGATTTTTAATCTAATCTTTCTTTTGTTTTCAAAATTTTCTGACTTATCTGGACTCGGACAGAAGATATTGCAAAGTTTTTGCCAGAATTCATATTCAGACAAATGAAACGTTTTCTAACAGACACTGTGATTACGAAAACTTCGCAATACTTTAGCCGGCAAGCCAAAGTTACAAAAATAAAAAACACGGAGCTTGAAATATGCATTTTCTCACATAAAGCGAACCTAACTGCAACGCTAAGATGACGCTGATGTTTGTTCAACATTGGAAAAATTTAATTTTTAAGAAAATGTACTCTATGTCCAAAAAGAAAAACATTTTTTTTCTAGACAAAGGTTCACTCAGAGTTTGAAGATCGACTGCGATGCGATACTCAATCGACCAATAGCGATTGACGAGGATGACTTTAACTGAATATTTCACTGCATGTCCCTGCCATGTGCACGTCGAGAGTAGGAGAAAATTAAAAGATACTTCGAGAAAGTGTTAAGATAGCTAGTAAAAAAAGTAAAATATCCTGATCGGGATATAGAATATGAACCTCGAGAATTATTTAAAAAGAGGTTGCTGATCGAAAAAAGACTTGGCCACAAGGAAAAAAGAATCTGATTCAGTTTTTAACCCTCTTTTCGGCGGTATGGTCAAATCGCGAACATCAACATTTTTTTCGCTAATGAATTTTATTTAAGAATATAGAATTTATATCCCGATTGGGATATATTTTGGTGCAAAACGAGATATAGAGCATGAGACGCTACTAGAATAGGTGTTCTTAAAATTTCACACTTGCATATCTGATGTACGAGGAGAGGTTCATTTTTTGGTTTTTAACCCATTAGTGTAACTGTTATAAATGTAAGAATATTAATACCCCTCGACAAGTTAAATAGTGTACCTGTTATTTTTCTCATATCTCAATAACAAAACGGTTTCCAGCGTTTGACATTTTTTAGCAAATACAATAAATCAGTGTCTAATATTACTCTCAAAAAATCTTGCTGTATTTGTCATATCTATGAAGGAAAACTGATTGTTCTTTTTACATACAGGCATTAGAATATTGAATAATACGAGGAAAAACAATACAAACAACGAGATACATGAGTCTATTCAAGGATATCACAAATAAAGCATAAGTTTTGAGAGAAAGTTTGACAATGATCCATGATGTTTGCCAAAAAATATCAACGCTGGAAATCGTTTTATCGTTGAAATATCAGAGAAATAACAGTTGTACTGATGGTTTAAAAAACAAAAAATGAAAGTCTCCTCGTACAATGGATATGTAAATGTAAACTTTTAAGCAATGCTAGATATCAGTGCCGTGACGATAGATGGTAGGTCTGTGGAGGCCTACGTCTCTCCTGCTCTTCTGGTTTATACATTCTCTAAATCACAAACGTTGTATGAAGTTTTTGGACATTCCAGGTCATAACCGAACTATTCACAAATCGTTCAGTAATGCTGCGGAGCTAGTGTATTGGCTAAAACAACAGCGACAGAAGCGACTCATTAACTGAATTATGCATAGGAAATGATAAATATTATATCGATATATGTAGATCTACTAGATACTGCGTAAGAGATATCGGTAAAAAGTGTTTACCTGTTAAAACCGTACTGATAATAGAATTTGAAAACACTCAGCGAAATCCTAGTTTCCTGCCTCTTTTTTTCGTACGCATAGTAAAGGAATGGAACAAGTAGCCGCCATATACTGCAAGTAGCTCTTTCTCTCTTGGTTCTCTTATAATCACTTCAACTATATTGTTCAACAAAAAATAGAAAAAAAAAGTAAAAAGTAGAATTCTTCGCTGACATCTGTGATTGTTCTTGCTCTGGTAATGTACTCATACCCTTTACAATGTTCTATACCTTCTATGTTTTCTTTAAATTTACAGCACTCCTCTTTTTTTGCTGCTAAATGAGTAATTTGTACAGAAACATTGCTTTCTTTACTATATTTCAGAGCTCGTAATAGCAAAAACAAAAAGCAGAAGTAGGAGTAGGATTCAAAGTCTTTAAAGATAGGATTTATATCAAACAGTAAGATAAATGTAGGACGTGTGAAACCAGACGGTGGAAACGTTGCTTTTGTTGCAAAGTTGACTGTAGTGTAGGAAACTTTGCCTTTGCAGCAAATTTGTGTATAGCACAGGAAATTTGTCCTTTGAAACACTGGCTCCACATGTACATGGACATGACGACCAGTTTGCGACATCAGACTGCAGAGCATTTTAAAAATAATACGAATGATATCCGTGCATACATTCATATATATATATATTTATAGAGTGCGAGCATTCAGAAATGCAGGAATTCAGTAATACGGGAATGCAGGAATACAGTTATATATGATGGTGTGAATACAAGGTGAAAGGAATCCAGGAATGCAGGAATACGGCAGGATGCATAGTTTGGCGTTGCCGCAACCACGATATT